TTATCAGTAGCGCATATTTTTTTGTCGCCAATATTCGTTCATATCCCGCTCGAGACGCCACTGGACTTGGTAAATTTAGTCAAGTTATGGCTAAATTAGATCCTTAATGTTATAAATACTACCGCCATATTACAGCCAAATTAGGTAAAGGATATTTGAAAAAATTACAAAAAAATACACATAATTATATGGTTTGAACGTGTTAGGTTCACCCACATGAACATGTTACCTAATGATCGTTTGACCTGTGAAAGACAAAAATTACTATCTAACTGACCTTTTGTTTTGTGTCGCTCCACATAGGTCGGCTGATACCCTTTTTACCCTTCAAAAGGGTTCGTAATCCTAGTATATGATAGCATGAAATTTTAACGAATCTATTTTCTCCCGGGACTAATTGGGTATTCAACATCATTATTACTAAAAACGCCCAGATTACTGCGGCTATTTGAACTTTGTTCACTCGTGAATATTTGATCCGGCATTTTACACATGCTGGCATGACCAATATATGCGATAGTCAAGTTAAAAAAGTAACAGGATAGAGTTATGTATGAAACAGCACAACAAGCAGATTTATTTCCCACTGAGGAAGTATTGTAATCGCGAAAATAATATCTAAAATGAGATATTTTGTTTTTTTGTTATTAAGCGACATACACATCATGAAAAACCATGTCGCTCATTTCCGTCATCTTGTCTGTTGGTCTGCCGGTTCACATTAGTGCCTTATGAAGCTCATAATCAAATACATCTAAACAACCACGACCTTTCCGTGCCCTTGTGAAGCGAGATATCGTCTTAACTAATTTTCTAAGCTTGCCCTTAAATTGACCTGTTAAGGATTATGGCCAAGAGTAATATGACACCACTCAACACCTTCTTACCACCACAACCCATAAAGTTTACAGCCTTCCAACAAAAACTTTATCCTCAGAAGAGGGAAACGCACAATAACACACAAAAAGCGGGCTTGTAGAAGTTAAACATTTATTCGATTATAGATGTAATAAAATAAAATATTCAACTCGATAGACCTCGTAGTTCTCTGTTCTTTAGCGCTTGAATTCCCAATATCTTTCTGGTCTTGATTTCACTAATTATTACAACAGTGGCTTGTTAGATTGTTGGTAAAATGTTTATGACTTCCTTATAGATCAATTAATACTTTGATAGTGAGGCTCTCAATCTCTTGATCTTATAGAACTTATCTCATTTAAATCTCTAGTTGTTCTTCCTTATTGGATGAGCTAATTGCTTGAAGTTTGAATTTTAATTAATCATTTTAAGTAATCTTTTTATCTTGAGAGTTAATAAACGGATAAACTTATTTACGTTTCACTAATTAAAGCAATAACGGCCAACATCTTACAAAGATTTTTAAATGAAACGTTTTCTTCAGTACAAGTCTCCGACTATTTCGTCTGAGCCTGCACATTCACCAATTTTGCAAATCGGTCAAACTTCCTCCCCTGTTTCTCCGATACTAATCACACGATTGCTTTGAGCCCGTGAGAACTTTTGTTCATATGTTTTGTGCGGGGTCCTTTAAAAACCTCCATATCCAGCTCTCCAACCAGACAGCATTCGCCAAAATGTACTATATCGATTTGACTAAAAAATACGACTATATTTTTTCATTGGGGGACAAAGCTATCTGAACCTCACGTTCTATTTCTGACACTGCAGGTAAGCATTTGTTTTTTCTGATACGACAATATTATCAACGCCACTTTTTGGTGCACTCTATTGCTGCAAGGTGCGATATCAACGTGGAGGCTTTTGTGAAGCGCTAATCCCTTTTTTCTATGCATGATGCTGTTTATAGTCCATCGTACTAGAGACTATATATATATATATATATACTCTGAAATTGAAACCCGTTAAAATTTTAATTTCCAGCGGAGATTAAAAGCCCATTTATTACTCAGCTCATGGAACAAAGGAATGCAGCTTAGAAAGTAATGAACAAGCAGAAAACTTTTTTGCTCAAGGTCATTTGAGGTTCTAAAAAATAGCAAGGATAGCTGTGATAACAATGCATATATTTTTATATATTGGAACAGCCGCCAAGGCAGAGCCTAAGACCGAGGTATGGTTCACTCAAAAATGTAAGACTCATTTCGGTATTCTGTAGAATATTCCATGAGACGTGGGCGTCTTTCCCAACCCCTCGTTGTCCACTGGTCGGGGACCTCGAAAATAAGAAAAATAACCATTTTGGAAGGGAAAATGAGTAAAAGATGAATACTTTGGAGGATATTCTCTATTCATGTCATTGATATGAATGATAATTCTGCAACGCAATTAAAAATTAAAGCGATACTTTTTAAAACCGAATGCCTTAATCACAAATGTCCAGCAACACGATAAGATATCGGTTGTTCGGTTTATTTCACTTTAAATAACACAAGCCGACAAAATTACCCAAGCCACATGCCAATAACAACCCATCCTACCCTATCAAGGCCGAATCTAATGATCTGACATAATTGCACACTTCATTCAATAAGAAAAATCAATTTCTTCTGATAAAAGCTGAACCGATCTAGATAAAAAATGAAAATTTCAAAGTAGGTACCATAACACCAGAAATAGTCGTAGAATGTGTAATTTCGATATTCGTCATTTGGAAGGACCTTTCTTAATGTCCCATAAGATATGAGAAATTTCGTTTAAGTAAATTTGACATATTTCGACATTTTTCGAAAATGGAATGTTCCATATTTTATTGTATATTTGAATACCCTTTTCGAAAGAAGAAAATTGATATAGATTCTAGGGTTTTGATTATTCGTTGGTAAACCTTGACATTTTGTCAGATCGTCATTTTAAAGGATAGTGATTTCTTATTCTAGGTTCATAAAGTTCGCGCTTCAAAATGGAGTGTCACAGGATCTCTGATTCCATTTACGAAATATTCCAAAATAGCGCCCAGCCACCATCTTGGAGCTTTCAACTGCCACTCTTAAGCTAAATATAGTATTATACTGAGTGACAAAAAAAGGCAAACACCTACGTATATTTATCCGATTTTAATAATTTTTGGCATGTATGTTCAGTGGCTCTTACTAGTAAAATGATTAAATTTTCAGATTGATTCATCAACTGACTACAGAAGCTGGAACAATAATGTGTTGAGGATCCACGATTTCTTATGCACTCATTGACATGCCCGGGCATCGCGCTGATAAGATGGTCGATATCCTGTTGGGGTATCTCATTCCAGGCTACTGCAACTTCGTGAGTCAGTGGAGGATGTTGCAAATTCAAAAGCTTGCGACCTATCATGTCCCAGACATGTTCAATTGGGGATAGGTGAGGCGATCCTGGTTGATGCGATGTTGATCCATTAAGGCTAACGATGCTCTGGCAACATGCGGTCTGGCATTGTCTTGTTGAAAAATCGGGTTTTGGATGGTGCTTAGGTATGGAATAAAGTGAGGCTCCACTACTTCCTGAATACAGCGTCGTGCTGTCATATTGCCTCTGATGAAAATTAGTGATGATCTGCTACCATAAGCAGTAGCACCCTATACCTTAACTCACACGGCGTGGTGAACGTGACGCTCTCTGTTAAATTGTGGGTCACGTCTTTCACCACGTCGCCTTCTCACTCTTGCCCGGCCATCGTGCATCCCCAGACAGAAGCGGGATTCGTCACTAAGGACCACCTGGTTACGCTGATGTTCAGCTGTGAGAGGTAGCACCCAATGTGGGCGATAAGAAAAAAGGCCAAACTGTCGTATTCGGCGATATTCCGTACGCATACCAACCATCCTTCCATGTTCTTCAAACCACTGATTTTAGCGATGGCTCGAGTACTACTGAATCTGTCTCTCAGAGCCAGAAGTCTTAACCGTCGGTCTTGTCGCCCTGTGGTCCCTCTGGGACATCCAGAATGCTCGTTCACACTGCAGTATACTGCGTAAGGATTTGCTGGTCCTCCTAGAAACTTATCGATAGACACAACCCGACAATTCGACTTCTCTCAAGGTCACTTCTCAATAAGCTACACGAAATTTAATATTTAACTGACACCGTAAATGTACGAAATCTGAATGCTTCTTTATCACCAAACAATACACGCAGGCACCACAACAACTTAACAGAAAAAATTGACCATCGTTCATGGCAAGATAAATCCATATGTAAAAAATTATTGAATTCTAATAAACATACGTAGGACTTTACTTTTTTTGTCACTCAGTATATTCATACATCAATCCCACTACTCCAAATTTCAGCTTTCTATCTTGACTCATTCAAAAAAATATATGGAGTTTTTGGGAACCACTGTGTATTTTAATTGTATTCATGTAACCTCTTTTTGTTACGTATATAATAAAACAAAACTTAGTCGCCGTTTTCAATCACTTTCACCTCAATCGTTTAATGATTACATTTTGGTGTACTCATCTCTAATACTCAAAAAAGTGATATTTCACATTTAATATGTTTGATATTTTCCACAAAAAAAATCTGTTTTTTGCAGAAGTCAGAATTTGCACTATCCAATTCGTCAGCCCTTTGTTCAGAAATATTTCCAGACTGCACCGGTTTCGTTACTTTCGATACTTTCATACTGTATTAAACTTGATGCACACTTTTCCAACAAGTTAATATGCAACAACACCCAGCCAGAATGACGTCCATTTTGAAGACATTCATGTCGATTTGTTGCCTTGCTCCCTAGATCTCTCGATGTTTCACCCATTCACATGTCTGGAACATTATGGGAAGAATAATAAATACCCCATTCACCCCATCCTCAAAAGGAAATTGGTCATCTGATTAGGAATATGCCCAGATGTGATTCTGACTACATAAAACATCATGGCCCATCAAATTATCAATCTTTTACATTTTTTCAACGGTTGCGTTCTTCTGAAATTTTGACCAATTACGAACCTAACCATGTGTACAAAAATGTGTAATAAATTAATTATTACTGGGTGTTTTTTTCTACGTCGGCATGATTGTAAAACAGAATATTACCTGCTCGTTTCTATTGGATCCTTCCTCTCAGTAGACGTCACGGTCACAAATGTTCACTTTAACCTTATCACCAAAATATTGTCCCAAAACGGCATACACAAATATGTTCTTCATTTTTAAATCCAGTCCCGGTTTCCCGTTTTTTTGCTATATCTCCTGCATACATTCTTATGCTCTTTTTGAACAACTCCATTTCAAAACTAACTATTCGAAAATGTCTCTTCAACATTACCATGTAGTTGTCTGTAATCATAGATGCTGAATATGGAACCCTACTATAAGTAATAATTTTTGATCCCAGGTTTTACATTTTCTACAGCTGTTTGGGCGCGTAAAGCAAATACCACTGAAGAGCAGCTCAAGTTGACGACGGGCCTGTACAATTGTTTGTTTTAAATTCATAGCCTACTGCCGAAAACCATGTTTTGTTAAACATCCAACCAGATAACCGTATTCAATTTCAAAATGGCGAAACGTTACGTCGGTGACGTAAAATTATCCATCCTGTGATTTTACGCTGTTGACAATATGGTGAATGCGCCCGCGTTTGTGTAATTAAAAAGCTGTAAAATCAGCGCTTCCACATATATGGGGCCACTCTAATTACACTTTTACAGAGGTGAAGTTAGGGAAACTCGTAGTTAAAATTTCCGAAAGCATTTCCAAAGGAGTAGTTGGCAGAACTTCTCACACGGGAATTCAAAGTAAGTAAGGTTCTAACCATCGATGATGAATAGAGATAGATATATCTATTTACAAAATGTCGATTCAATACACTGTTGCCATCATTCACAGGTAGAAAACCGAAAGAATATCATAAACTGTTGCAAAAGCTGTACACCTATGTTCAACACTGCGTGAAGTTTGGCAAGTAAAAAATATGAGGTTGGGAACTCCGCTGGTGCGGGGATGCCATCTGATGGTTTTATGATAGTACTCAAATTAGGTGTTTTATATTTGAAACAGTTCCGTTATTCTTTTAGAATTCTTATTGAACTTACAAGAAGGTGGTATATGGGTTTCTCCTTTGGGGTTGGAGAAAAACAGTAAATATGCTGGTGTGTGTGTAGTAGTATTTTGATTATGATACGCTATAAAATGCTATTTCCATCGCGGCAGCCATTTTGTTTACCCCGCCAGTCGTCTCTGATCCCTGGTCATCAAGCAATATTGGAAATAAATAAATGAGTATATATATGATATCGTCATCATTATAAGCTATTCGCCAAATGTCAGCTCGACAACCGCTAGGTAGCGCAACCATCGCGCGCCCAGCGAATCTTGATAACCGATATTTACTTTCTACGCCTACTGGCAAGAAAATATTGTAATTACGAAAATTTTTTAAAATGAGATATTATTTTTTAGGCGTTATATACTTCGAAGTTGAGTCATTTATTTTAACAGTGAGTAGATCTGATCAAAAGAAATATTTTTTTCCTTTAACGTTTTTCTGGTAAAATTAAAGTAACAAAGTTATAGCCCTTTAGAAGTTTGAGTACCGCCCTGTCTCAATAATAATATTATGTGCTCGTATTTGGCAACAACGGATATAATCCGCCTTATCCGTTCATCGCATCGGAAACAAAAAAGCGAAAGAATTTGAAACGATGTTTTTACTACAATATACAATCTTATTCAGTTGTATTCAGTCGGTGTGTCAGTCGGTAACGCGTGAGTGAATAGTGGTGTTTGTTGCGTGGCTCAAACGAAATAAAAAATGGCACATGTTTACGAAAATGCTGAATGTAGTACAAAGGGCTCGTGAATCAGGTGACTTAAGACCTCACAGGGGAGGGCATGCCGGTGCTCCAAGACCGCACGATCAAATACAGGTCCGCACTGAAATACTTGTCGGGAGGATACTTTATAAAACAAGGTAAATTTTTTTTTTAATTCTAATTTTTTATTTTTACACACATATTTTGGTTTATCTTCCTTCTACAATCATTATCTGAAAATTAATGACTCAACTTCAAAGTGTCGATCTGTCTGTCCACTAATCCTTGGCCCTTCTATAACTTGGAAAGGCCTAATCGGATATGAATGTAATTTTTCACAAAGTAGCTACTATGCCAAGCTTTATAGTTTTTTAAAATCGGTCCAGTGGTGGCGGAGAAAGAGGCCAAAAACCAAAAAATAAAAATCGCTCAAATTTCGGTTTTTGACGTTTTAAAGAATCCTAATCGTTTGTGAAAAAATTAGGGAAAAAATCGGGAGAAGAAGGTTTGTAAGAGGTGGGGGAAGGTAGATCTCCATTTTTTAATAACAGTATATCAATACACTTCCAGCACCGATAATTCTACGCACTTCTTATATTTCACCATCTCATACCTTTCGCCGTACATTTGCTTTTAAAACTTGTGTTAAACAGATTGCGTTTTTGGTAGTTGACTTATAAAAGCAGGTATGAAGCGGCGCGGCAACATACAAGGAATGTGTGATATTATCTACATTATGGAGTGTAATTTAGCGCAGTTACTTGATTATATTATAGTATAATATACATATATATATATATATATATATATATATATATATATAATGTATTATATATGTGAACATTGTTGACAAATAGTTTTACATCACGGCTTCAAAGAAATTAGGCTACCGTGTACGGACATGCTAGATGCTGCAATCTGAGATTTTTTTTAATGAAAAGCCTCAATAGTGCTTTAGTTCATGGGAAATTGTTCTAGTTGTTTCGAAGGCATGGGTGGTATACAGTTGATCTACTTGGTGCCGTTTTTTGAGATTGCAACTAATACAACTCACATGAAAAAGTAATCAGGCTGAAAAGGGTCATGTGACGTTGTCACACTACAGTTGAAGCAATGCATTTACCAGAAGAAGAGGCAATTAAGATAAACTACTGAGATCTCCCAGTTGCCACCCCAATATGTCTTCCCTAATTGGCCATCCTAGAGAGAAAGAACACTAATTCGACAAAATAGGTTACTCAAGATAACTTAGAGATATCACTACTATTTCCACCCATATTCTCGGAAAAGCTTTGAAAAGCTAACAGAAAACATGGCGTCAAGTAGGTTGACTCTGCATCGCTGTCATAAGCTGATAAAGGATTATGTTCGGCACAAATTGGCCTCTCCGAGAAAATATGTAGCTACGCACATGTGAAACCGGAAACATAAACGGAACAAGTTAGTCAAACGGGCTCATGCAATTAAAATTTGCATATTTAGCATTTTTATAATTTTGAAGCTCTTCAGAAGTTGGCTCCCTGAGAAAATATACCACCCCTCGCTCTTCTGCGTCAAAAAATTGAGATATACCTCCCCCACCCACTACAATGCCCGCCACCCAATTTGTTCCGCAAAACAAAATTTAAAAATGATCAGGACAATCTGAAACGTAAAAAAAAATGTTCGAGTGATTTTTATTTTTTTTATTTTTTTGCCCCTAACCCCGCCGCCACTGAGTCAATTTTCAAAAACTATAAAGCTGTCCTGTCCTTGGCACAGTCGTGTGTGAAATTCTCATCAAAATCCCAAAGGATAAGTGGTCAGACAGACACACACAGACAGACAGACCGACGGAAAAAAACGTCAAAGCTCATTTTCGCGATTTCAATACATCCTCGCCAGTAGCGTAAGAAGTAAAAAAGCTAGTGTTGGTATGAGAGAGATTTATCAAATATGTATTATAGTCGCACAAATGTAAGCTCCCTGAATTAAAGGTATGGTATCATGTCAGTTAAATAAATTGACGAAATTTTTCAATCAGGCTCAAAACATATTGAAATCCTTCAATGCCATTTTTTATTTTGGTGTTAGAAATAGCAAAATTTCTCGAAAATTAGCAACATGACCGTCGTTACATTGAAGTTATTATTTTTAATTACTACTAATTTTCCTTTAATTATGAATCTCCCTATACCGATCCTGTTATCCCAAACCAGATTATTTGCTGATTTATAATTGGATCCAAAAAAGTTCTATTTTGTATTTAATGAACTTTATTGAAATACATTTAATTTGGAACGTCCAAATTCAAATATTCAAGCAACGCTGCTTTTTGATATTAATACATAAACATTAATTTGTATCAATAATTGAAATGCATCAGTTCATATAATGTCACTCATTAGCTATGTTACACATAGTGTCCCAACGAAAAGGGAAGGTAATTTTAGTAATATCAAATTATATCAATGGAAGTATATTTTTAAATGATTTTGGTACATCCGTAATTTTTTTTTGCGCGACACACTCGGTATTTCATTAAACGTGTCTGGCCACTTCGATGTCAGATCAGAAAAGTCCTTTTTGATCTGTTGCTAAAATTGACGTTTTTGTTGTTGAAGGTTGGAAAGTGCGGTGATTGTAGATAGTTGCAATTCTCATTTTTATCGGAAAAATCGCACAGACTGTTAGCATTAGAACTGTTCAAAAAGAGCACCTCATATCATCCTCTAAAATAAGTCCATGCACCCCAACTGACAGTTCGGATCAATCTCGGGTTCAACAAGTTTCAAGCACAAACTCCCCGCATCACAACAACCACCTGCATCGCTACCCGCATAGAACAGCGCGGCCGCGTTCCGAGCCCGAGCAACAGCAGCACGTGCATTCGTGCATCGCATCCCGGGAGGCCGTGCCAGCGTCATAACAAGCGAGCATCGCGATCCGCGGCCTACTAAGCGCCAGCGAAACGCCGAGCGCCAGCCTCCGCCAGCCGAAGTGCCAGTGTGATGCGGCGCCGGCGACAATTCCTGATGGAGGCGCGCAGTGTTGTCAAAACAAACGAAAAATTGAGTTCTTGAGCATTCAATTAGCTGTGGCATGCAAACTTCCACCGTATGGCCTCGCAAAGAAGCTTTGCAGATGGATGGTTCCCGGTCCATAAGATACCTGTCGTAATTAGGAAGTCTCCTATAGCCGAAAATACCGCCAGTTTCACTTGCATATCATAGAATAACTGGTATCTTTCACAAATCGGAATGAATTATTCACACGACATAAGTTGCATATCCATATATAGTTTTAATAATATACTAAGTGACATATAAAATGCAACACCCAGAATTCAGATAAAAAAGCTTGCAAACATATTTGATATCATGGAAGCATACGCTGATAAAATGTTGAAGTCATTCCGAGCCGTACTTTTTTTGTAAAGGATTTTTTGTCGGATCACGATCCGACCTATATGAACATGTTTCGTCTGGTCTTATATAAACTGAAAAAAGCTGTTTGAAAATAGGCGTATGTGTAAAGTTTGGCAATAGTGCGAAGCTCCAGTAACACGCGTGTCGATTGAGAGGTGGGGAGGGGGGTTCATTCATGGATTCACGGAGGTGCCTGGGAGGATATGCGATTAAGGCTGTAGGGAGGAAAACGATGCGTGGGCTGACGCTGCTAAAGGTCGCACAGATACAGATGATGCTGGACGCTCTCCTGGCACGGGAAGCGGAAAAACTTTTATCGTGGGCGGAAGCAGAAAATAATTGGTCTTTGGGGGCAATATCGTGAAGAAGTTGGACTTGAACTCTCCGGTGAATAGCATCGTTGGTAGACTTGCTTTATTACATTGTTAATATTTCTGTTCATATAAACAATAAAACACTTTTTATATAATCTAATAACTTCCATCAAGTTACATGAAGTCCACAGAAATATAAACAAATATCAAACCTCTGCAGAAATATACACCCACGCATTACGTAATGATAATTACCTAGGGAATCCATACTCGCGACTGAATATGACTAAACATAATAGACCTGACGTTAAATTGCATCATTTATTCGTCAATGCCAGAAAAGAACATAATTTTGAAAATATGTCCAATCGTTGCTTCTTAAGTTATGTTAAAAGTACATTGTTTAGTCGCTGTTTCTATTCATTTGTTGAGTACGTTGATGCTATGACGTCACTAGGACAGATAATAACAGAGTTTGTGAGATCTTACATTGTATGTACACACTTAATGTGGTCAATAAACTTATATACATAGCGTTTTAAATACCTTTCAGAAATGTTATGATGATGCATCGCGGTTCTCCTATCTATTTGAGGCAAATGTCAGATGATCAAAATTCACTGTGATTCATGCCATCAGCATTTAATGATGATTATGACAGTGTCAGTGGATGATATTGGCATCCATCCCGTTAAATGTTAAATAAATACCACGTTTCGTGGTAATTACTGATGGATCACAATAAATATTGAAAGTGTGTTGTGATAAAATTTACAGTCCGCAAGACCATTGCATGCAAAACGGCAGTGTTTTGTTCTTCGTTTAATGCAAGACCGATGTTTGGGTCTTGCACAGTTGCTAACAGCTGAAGCGCTAATGAAGCATTAGCACCTCCCATAAACAATAATAGGAGAATGTATTTGTTAGCAAAAGTAGCAGCTTTGTATAAGGGTCTCCTAGATTTGGTACATGCTGCATTTGAATGATTCCGCAAGGAATTTAACAAATGATTTTATATACACATTCACCATTTTTGAAAATCGGCAAACTTGATCCTCGTATTTCTCAAAAACTAATCATAGGGTTGCCTGCGTCCAACTAGAACTTTTTATTGCAACGAGAACTATATCATCATAGTGAATTCTTAGAAAAATCGTTATCCAAGTTTTGTTCAGCATTACAAATGACTGAATATCCGACAGGTATTCAGAAAGTAGAAATTTTGATTTTAGAATGTGACATTTAAAAGTTTTCAAAACATTTATAGTCAAATTAAATTGCATTCAACGACTCGGGACCTCAGGCCGAATTACTTTTTAAAAAATAGTGGATGGTAGTCCTTGAATTACATTCGCAAAAGCCTTGTTATTCTCTGAGCCTGGTATCTCTGATAACACTGTGCAGTAAACAAGTTATTCATATTTATGGAACACGAGAATTGAGGCTTATTATTAAGGATGTTTATCCTATCCTATCGTTAGTCAAACCAAATACAGACAACCATGGACTACTGTTCCGTGGTTTATGGCTCCTACTCAGCAAGCACTATACACTGTCAAGTGTAAGAACTATCAAAATAAGACAGCGCGAATCGACCACTCAGTCCGCGTATTGAAGGCCCAGTCACCACGTGAGTGCGAGATGTTTATTATTGTTTGATGAACGGTAAAACAAATCAATACTAAGTATCTGTTACTCTTACATAATTAAAAATAAATGGAATTAATAAAGCCTGATCATATAGGGTCTTTAATTGGGAGATGAAAAGTGTCTGTGGATATAGGTCACTGGTGTAATTTCACATAGCCTTGTGTTGATATGCCTTCAATCTGTTGTAACCGAGATGCAGAGAGCTTAATTGATTTTGGCAGTTTATTTGTGGCGTCACAACTCTTTAACCATCTGTCATTTTTTGCTAGAAGTTGGTACACGTACTCAGCATAGGTTATCGAATCGACTTTGATATGACTGGAAAAAATACAGCTAGAACTTAACGAAGCCCTGTTATCCAAAAACAACAGTCCTGCTTATTGTAATTCCTAAATTTCGCTTACGTATTTAGAAAGACCAAAGTAACTTATTCTAACGGTCAACTTTTGTCATTTGTGCAGACGATTTTATATTAGCTGGATACGGACTACGCTCATTTTGGAGTACAAGACCTTATGGTCCATTAATTTTATAACTTGCTGTTATATTTAGCAAAATGTCACCTTATCAGTTACACAGGCCCACAAATTAAAAAAGCGGCTTGTAAGTGGGTTCTCAAGACAAAATTGACGGTCGGTAGACAAATAAGAAAGTGATTCAGGCATTGAGATCTGAAGATTAAGTTTTTTGGTGAATGTGCATCTTCTTTGGAGTAAGACAGGCAAACCGTTAATTATTTGTAGGTTATCCTTCATTTTTAAAAACTATAAATATCGAAAGAAAAAACGTATTTTTCACAGCGATGACTGTCATGTAACCGGATTCATGAAATTTCTGAACGCTACAGTTGCGACGCACTCTCTGCCTTTTCGCTGTAATTTTTTCATTGCTCAGTGGCGTAGAAAGAAAAAAGGGCATGCAGATTATAACTCCAGTGAGAGATCTCAATCTAACATTAAATGAATTGCTTATTCTATCACCTAAGGTTACCAGTAGTAGTCACCGAGACAAATAGCAAGTAGCGTTCCAATTTATTCAGTAGTTCATTATTGGACACATATAATCGATTTGCTAACACATTAGGGTGTGTTTCAACCCTTTTACTGTATCTAACTTATGGATCACGTCCTTGTTGAGGTATGTCAGACTGAATCACTTCATTTGGAACGTCCGTCCGTCGATGATAATTCACTGGACTTTGTTCTACAGGGTGGCCCAATATCTTGTGGACATAGAAGTAACACGTATTTTTTTTACTCAAAATAAGTCGATTGGACATGACATACGAGTTGCTTCCTAATATATTTAGTTTTTTTTAAATTCATGTTATTAATGCCATAAAACGCACCAGCGTCAGTTCAAAGTTTTTTCGTTTCTGCCAGTGATTCTGTAACACCAAAGTATGTCAGGGCACCAAATATTTGATACACTTTATAACTGCGGATATACAGATGACTAAAATGAGATGGTCACACACAAGATTTTTCTTTCGTTGCACTACTTTCATTTGACATTTGTGGCAACAATCTCTGAAATTTGTATTTATATGTACGTGGCAAATAAATTGTTATTATTATATGCAAAAGTGCTTCATTTGGCCGAGGTCAAATTTTTCTTATTAAGACACAGTTTTTCAAATATCTTTGGAACCGATAGTCCGATTTGAATACGGAATACATGCGTTTTTCTAGACGTCCTAGCGTTTGCCTTTTACAAAAAATCGAGTGGGTTCGAGAAGGATGAAAACTACCAGCACCCCTGCATAAATGATGGCAGAATTATCTCCCAACGACTTAGATTTCCTTAATCAAAAGTTCCTTTTATTTACTTCACTTTATGTGTCCCTAAAAACAGGCTATCTCGCATAGTTTCCGAGAAAAAATATGAGTTACAACAAGAAGTCCAAAGCGTCTTATCCTATAAGTGTAGTTAGCGAAAAGAAACAAGTTTGATATAACTTACTACAATTTTATTTGATACAGGCATTAGTGTGAATCTTTCATTAAAGTTGTGCAATATGGCCACCATTTTCGTTGACGTTGGAAATGACAATTTCTTGAAGTCAACATTTTATGCTTGTAAAAGTCTGAAGATTTGGAGTTCGTTGATTCAGATACCTCGCGAACACTTCTTCTGGAATTACCTCCGCAGAAACCAAGTATTAACAACCTATCAGTCTGTTTGTCAAAATAATATTCCATATTCACGAGAAAAACAAGCAACAACAACTTGACAAAAAATAATCTAAAGCATTAATTGATTTAGAATTTATAAAGAACAAACAACAAATTAACCATCAAAAATAAACTCAAACATTACTTATTCAGTTAAACTTTATGCAGCTTGTCAAAAATAATCTAAAACTGACATAACATTCCACATTTCTGCCAACTAGATGCCTACTAGATTTTAACACAAGATTTTAGTAAGAAGAATTTATAGCAACCAGCGCCGAAAAACTTTTTTTTTCTCGAAAGCTATGCGATATGGTCTGGACCAACAATTATGTAAAAGAAAGGATTTTTTAAATGAAAAAATCAGATTCGTTAGGAGTGTT